AAGGTCTGTTTAAAACACTCACACTGCTCGTATAAACAGGTTTAAAAACACACGGTGTGGAGAGTAAGGAGAAACACGCAAACATTTGTTCATAGTCCTGATACGTACACAGTCAACATATCTGTACTTGACTGGAATGCAGTTCAGCTGCTGGGTGAAGAGAATGATCACAGTCAGTGTTTCATTGAATAGACTGGTTAGAGTATCAGATCTCTATGTGTGCGTCCTCCCTCTGTTTGTACAAACACATTCACATATAATCTGGAGTCTTCAGTCTTCATAATGACACAGCTGCCGTGCGAGCAGACTCACATTGAAACTGCTGTCACTTTGTTTCTGAATGACATGAACAATGCTCATTTGTGTCTACAGTGGGTTTTTTTATTCTAAGTAATCCACATAGGCACATTGCAAAATACATTATTTAATAATAATGTAATAATGTATGTATTTTTAAAATAATTTAATTTATTTTTAACATTTAAAATTAATATTTTAAATTAATTAAATTTAATAATAATTAATAATTAATTAATAAATTTAAATTTAATAAAATAAAATAAAAATTTTAATTAATTTATTTTTATTTATGTAATAATGTAATGTACATCCCCGACCTGTCTCCCCATGTGATGTCTGCGTTGTGTATGTAAGGTCGGGGAGGGGGGGTTCCATTTCGCTGCAGGGCACCTTCCATGTGACAAAGTTCTGATTGATTGATTGTATAACACTTGACTCAGGGCATTTATTTTTAACACTAGTACTTCTACCACCTCGCCTAGTACCCTAGTACCAATATTTGTAGTATTTGGGGTGGTTTTTAGGAAGTCGGAAAGCAGCTCTGAAGCTAATGCGAACTAACGTCATGTTACAGGAAACAGTCCTCCTTTTCAGTCTACACACTGATGAAGATGAAGAAGCCATCATGCGCCGACTTATCGATCACTGAGTGGTCGATCAGTGAGAAACGCTGAACTCAGCTCTATCATTTACACATCGATGGCTGATCAGTGATCTTTGGAGACGCCCTCAGCTGAGATGCAGAAACGAAACTTAACGTCCCCTCGTGGTGCCTTCATCGACCCCTCATGTGAAAAAGAAAGCTAATTCCTCAACTTTCCTCACTTTTCCTCGTGGCTCAAATGTGTGCCTCCCGTCTACTAACGTCGTTTATATTTATGCCAATTAAATTCACGAGAGGAGAGGAAAGGGCAGGATAGAAAAGGATGGGCGATCTGAGCCATAAGCAGATGAATTCGCCTTTTTACCTGTTTTCAGCAGGGCCTTGAAGGCACCACGAAAAAGGCTGGGAGTGTGTGTGGTTTGTGTGACAAAGGTGACAGCTTCACAGATCGGTCCACGAGCTCTTCGTGTTCAGTCATCAGTTTGCT